CCTTGTATGTGAGTTGCCAGCCAGCCTTGTGGGGCTTCTTCAGTGGTGTGTCTACCGGTTTGGCGTTGGGGGTCATCTACCCTGTAACAGAAAGGGAAAATTTTCCTCATAAAGGTACCTCAGAGTGCGACCACCCGCTAAATGGACTTCCCTTAGTTCCCTACTGTGCAGACTTAGGGGGCAGCTGGAGCAGGCTAGCTTTGGGGGACGTGTCTGAGTCAGCTCAGGCAAGCAGAAAACATGCCTGGGCTGTGCCAGGAGTGCCAAGCGCAGGAGCTTTCTTTTCCTTGCTCTTGTAAGTTTTGGAGGGGAGGCGCAAGGGGGAGATGGGTCCATGCACGCATGCACACATGTACATCTATGTCGACGTGCACGTCTGTCCGCGCATGCATATTTGTACATTTATGTGTCTCCGGTCGTGGATGTACGTGCTGCATGCGCCCTCGTGCATGGGTGTCTGCGGCATGTGCGGCAATGTGTGACCGTGCCAGACTGTTTGATTGGACTTTCACTGACTCACTGACTCACTGACTCATCATGAGGTTGAACCATGATGGTCTGCCCAGGATGCATTTGACTAATGGGTACCTAGCAGACGCTCGCTCCGAACCGCCATTCCGAACCGCTGGCAAGAATGGCGGTAAGGCTGCGAAACTTGTCTCTCACACCAATGCAACCCACTCTGCACGTCCTTCGGAACATCCGTTTAAAGCTGGAAGGATACAAAGAACACTAACGTTAAAAAAAAGAAAAAACCACTCTGCACACGCTTAGCCATCAATATCCAATGGCATGACCGGCAGTATGGTCCCGACTCTAGCTTCAACAGTCAGCCTGAGCGGAGAGCTTAGCAAGGTCGTGTTGTGTGTTGTCTTGTTTGCTATACACAACTAACCAAAAAAGTTCGACTGTGCCAGAGAGACTGTTTCATCGGACTTTCACCGACCCATCATGTGTGTGTGTGTGTGTGTGTGTGTGTGTGTGTGTGTGTGTGTGTGTGAAACACATGTTGTGGATGCTTCGGTACATAAACAGTATGTACTCCAAATCGTCGTCACAACACAGGACATTTCTCCAATAGGGTCCTCCATTCATCATTCGCAACTCTTCCCTAGTGTTCTCACAATAAACAGTATGTACTCCAAACGACTTGGCTCCATATTCTCGCTATCGCAGGCTGCTCATCTGGCATTACGCCCACTCCCTGATCAGGGCGTCGAATTCCACTAGGGACCATCCTCCACCATCCTTTAGCCGAGCATCACTCCTCCCACCCCGCAGGCCCCCCGCTTTTTTTTTTTAAATCGACCATCCGGGTGAATCTTCTTCGGATTTCTTCCCCATTCAATTGATATGCCCGATCTCATACTCTCTTTAGGGCGCATTCATCGCCAAAACATACTCAACTTCCCCGAAGTTTCCCCTCCCTCCCTCCCTTCACCCTCCGCAGTGCGCTAGATCCACCCATCTTTGCCGACTAGGTAAGATCCCGCTACCCTGATTGCGGAACCGATATAGTCTGATTGCCAACTCCCAAGCTCCGTGAGACCGTAGATCGAAGAACAACCGGAAGTGTTACAGACTTCGCCAGGGCTCGATCCCTGGTCTATCTTTTTTCTGTTTCAGCTGCATCCCGTTTTCGGCCTGGCGCCCTTTTTCCAAACTCCTCCTTTGGTACTGTAGGATTTCGGACAACTGGCGCCATGCTGCAATTCGGGCGCCACTTTCAAATACTGCATTTTTCAGTTCTGCCCTCGGGACCTTTGCAGAAATGCCCCTGGTACCGTACGTGTCRCCGGTACTTATACCGGCTCCCCGTACGGTACGGGACCAGTCTCGTACCAGTTCTCCGCTGCTGTACTCGTACTCAGTGTGACTTGCTGTTTCGGCATTCGGAATCCAAGACTTCGACTTTGTGCCTCRCCACTGTGTCTGCGTCCGATCCTCAGTCCGAGTCCGTCGTGTCGAGTGAGTGAGTGTGTGTGTGTGCTCTCACTCTCTCCCTCTCTCTCCTCTCCCTCGGCTCACCCTCAGCCTCACGCTCGTTACAGGAAGCCTCTCTCCAGTCCATTACATGCCCTGCAACCTGTCCACCCTTAACATTGCCCGGCTCCACCCACAACAGCAGATAACCCCATGCCGCAAAGTAAGTGCCACCCCCCATAGAAATCCTTAGCCCGACGGCTCGAGGAAGACAGAAAAACAACTGGAGGGGGAGAAAAATCAACTTGCTGATCATGGAAAAAGGATACGATACCCACGACAATACCAATCATGACAACACAATAGCATACCATGACGGTGAATGACATGGTAGGCTGGCTGAGGTCAGTGCGAAAGGCACTACCCCTCCCAATCCTATCCGAAATAGCATGTAATAGCAGTAGTCATAGTAGTAGTAGTAGTAGTAGTAGTAGTAGTAGTAGTGGTAGTAGTAGTAGTTCTAGTGGTAGTACTAGAAGTAGTAGTAGGTTCTCACCAAATTGGTTAACTCACCCCTGTTACCTCACTCGGGGTAGGTGAGAGCATATTGCAAACCCACCGGCTCGGGTGGTGGCATGCATCCTGAAACATGCTTTTCGCTAGTTATGCCACGGACTAGCTCGTCGGAGGTAATCCATCAAGGATAGCACGAAGCAAGTACGCAAGGATAGCCAAAACTTTGAGAACCAATATAGGTAGTTATTACGTATAGGTCTAGGTGGAGGAGGGTGATCGGGGATGCCATGACAAAAAAACTTTCACCTCTGGTTGTGCTTCCGCCTGTGGGTGGACAATCCCCTCGTCCTCCAGATGCATATGCAACATCTCCTCGAAGCTGCTGAAGGTGGATTCCATATTGATGATTAGAAGATCCTCCTCGATTCCATATTGATGATTAGAAGATCCTCCTCGAACCGAGGGCTATCTTTAAGAGTGGTGTGTAGCTGATCCACACTCCGAGTGAAATCAAGGAGCAAGAAACTGCAGTGGTGGCAGAGACAGTGATTGAGATCCTGGGTAGGGTGGCCAGAGGGACAGACGACAGCTCAAGTGCAAGAGTAGCAGCGGCGAAGAGAGGAGTAGGGACGTTCATAGACATAGCGGCTGTGGGACCATCCGATAATACCCTGGTACACGAGTGCAACGCGCGTCGTAACGACGCAGATCTTCGATCTTCGTGATTAGCCGCGCTTGCCTCGCCGGATGAGGGGGATTAGTCCACTGCTAATCATTCATTAAATACATAATTACTACGCTGGATGCCTTGTCGTTTCAAGATTCCCATTTTTTTTGGCAGCCCTGGGCCCATGCTCACTCTTTGTCCCAGTAGAGCGTCAGGCTAGTCTATGACTCCTCCCAATTGGGACTATATTGTAGGTTAGATTCAGGGACCCATATTCCCTTATGCTGGTGACAGGCCCTGCGGCCCACCCGTCATCAAAAGGCCATGGGTTCAAGCCTTAAGGGTTTAATAAATACGGGAGCAAGGTCACCGGCGCAATTAGACACAACGTTTGCTAGTATGTCATCGGGAGGTCACGACATATGATAGTATGGCACCGAGAGGTCATTGGTTCAAAGCCCCTTGCCCTTTATTCGTCTTTCACGACCATCCCCAATCTGATGCGATGGTTTGGGGTGAACAGGAAGCTCTTGGGTCAAGATCCCTGTATCAGGCTAATAGCCCTCAAAAAAAATATTATTCTCTTCTGGTATATATTGTCATGCCTTTGGGACTATTCCCCTGTGTGTGTGTGTGTGTGTGTGTGTGTGTGTGTGTGTGTGTGTGTGTGTGTTTCCACCGCCCCTTTTCCACCTAGATGAGTAGGTCTGAAAGTGAAACAGCTTTACCTCACATATCTATCAACTGAAGGAGTGGACTTTGGAAGGCAAACGAAGACAGTACATCAGTCAATATGATAACTGAGCTACATAAGCGGACTGATGTATATAACCGTGGACGACCATGGTAGCTGGAGCTCTGGGGTTGCTACGGGGTGGTTGTGCGTTCAATTCTGTCAGGCTTCGATGAATCCATCTCCCCTGCACACATTCAGCGGGTTCAGCCTCCTGATGAGTCGGGACAACTTCGACGAAACAATCCATCGTCAGTTTCATTTTCTTCAGTCCTTGAAAATTTTCAGGACTTCTGCTTCTTCTTCTTCTTCTTCTTCTTTTTTTTTTTTTTTTTTTTTTTTTTTTTTTTTTTTTTTTTTTTTTTNCGCCCCATCATCATCATCATCATCATCATCATCACCATCATCACCAATCTACCCGTGCCCTACCTACCACGCTACCACCCAATCAATAGTAGATAGGATCGCTCTGCCCTCGATTTACATCAAAATTCATTTTATTCATTTCTAGAATCCATTTTATATTCTTTTTTTTGTACATTAAAAAATACTCAAACGTATATTCTTCTTTCGAAATTTTCAAAATACATAGGATTAAGCATTCTCTCTCGACATTTCATCTTCGAAATTCGAAAATCAGTAGAATCAATTTTTTTTTCGATTTTTTTCAAAAATTTCAGAATTAATTAAATTCTTTTCAACATTTCTTTTTCAACATTTCCCACTATTTTAATTCACAATTTCTTTTCGCAATTTTTGTTGAAATTCGAAACTCTTTTTACAATTCGGAACTACCTTTCTTTTAAAAATGTTATTCTAAACCCCTCAATTAATTTCGATTAAATTCAATTAATTCACGACTGAATTAATCTCTTTATTCGAAATTAATTATCCTTTTTTTGAAATGTCGACATTTTCCTTTAAAAAATTCTTGCCAAATATTTTAAAAATTTCCTCTTCCTAATTCTTTTCAGAATTATTATTATTATTATTATTATTATTATTATTATTATTTTATTTTTATTATTATTATTATTACTATTATTATTATTATTATTATTATTCCCCGTAATTCGAAAATATTTTCTTTTAAAATTTCACGTTTTCTTGTAAATAAATTTAAATCTAAATCAGAATTTATTTTTTCAAAATTAATTATCTCTTTCTGTTCAGCATTTATTTTATTTTATTTTTATTTATTTATTTATTTATTTATTATTTTTTATTAAAAAAAAAAAACTCGGCGATTATCTTTATTTTTGAATTTATTGATAAATAAATAAGGGATTCCCCCCCCCCCCTCCACATGCCACCACGTCGAACCAAGAACTCCAAACGTGCCGCCGCCACCGCTGCTGCGGCATCCTCCACACCCGTTCAGGCCACGTCCTCCACTCCCTCTTCCCCTGACATGGCCGCATCCTCCATCAACATGTCTGATATCCGCACCGACTCAGTTGATAGCATCGCCCGCAACCTCGCAGGCGAACAACCACCAGCAAACACCGTCACCCTCGACCTCTTCGCCATCCTCCACTCACTCAACACCCTCCGAACCTCCGTCACCGCCTCTCTCGACGACATAAAGGCCAACATATCGTCCATATGCGACGCGTCACCACGATCGAAGGGACCATCCCCTCCATCACGGTCGTCACCACCGCGCAAACCACTCCCTCCTCTACAGCGCAAACCACTCTAACCTCCACAGTGCAAAACACTCCCTCCTCCACAGCCGCCTCCAGCAACATCCCCCCGCCGACCTCCTCCACTTCTACCACCCCTACCACCACATCCATCAACCCTTCAACCTCCACCATCGTCCCGTTCCCTCCACCTCCCCCCTCATCCGGCGCATCCAGCACACCGCCTCATTCCTCGCCCGTCCATGTCACCCATCTCCCCCCCCCGCACTCCCAAACCCTCTCCCAACCCATCATGACCACCTCCACCATCCCCACCATCCGTCCCACCTATTCCCAAGCCACCTCGGGGGTTTACCTCGCAATGCCACAACTCCCCCCCAACCACCTCCTTGAGGACAACAACCAAATCGACCACACCTGCTACGACACCACCCCCGATAACCTCTACTTCAACACCCTCTCGCAGATCGTTCACCGCGATGGGGAAATCCCCCGTTCCTTCCGATCCGGCGAAATCATGTCCTTCTCCGGCCTCCCCCACGAGGACGTTTTCCTCTTCCTAACCCAGCTCCAGAACTCTTTTCACCTCCACCACATGCCCTTTGCCCACTGGCTCCCCATTGCCACCTCCCGCCTCCTCGGCAATGCCGCCAAATGGTGGATGGCTGAAGTCAGCAACCGCCGAGCCTCTGGAGGACCACGTCACTCCTTCCTCCAATGGGCCAAACTTCTCGCTGCCACCTTCCGCCCCCAGAAAACCATTGACGACTACCTCGAACAATTCTGCCACCTCCACCAAACCGGTCCCATAGATCGCTTCGTCCAATACATCCGCTCCCTCCGCCATCACCTCCCCACCACCGTCATTCCCGACTTTGCGTTCATCTCCCGCATCAAGCGAGTATGCCACAAAGATCTTGCCACCGCCCTCGCCCACGAACCCGACATGCCCCTTGCTGACCTCCTCTCTCGCATGCTTCACCACGATYGACTCCTCCACCCCCATCACCAGTCCGCGCCCGCTCCCTCCCGCCCCCTCTTTTTCCATAACGACACCACTCAACCCACCTCCGATGACACTGCCTCTCTCGACCCCTCCCAGTTCACCATCGAGGACCTCCAGACCGCCCACCTTATACGGATGGAAYGCCAGGATCGTGCCTCTCGACCGCCTTCTTCCTCTCCACCCCGCCGCCTCCAGAAACTTACACCCGCAGAACGCATATACCTCCAGGAACACAACGGGCGTTTTCGTTGCCGCCAGTTAGGTCATCAACAGACCAACTGCCCCAACGCTAGCCACTTTACTCGACAGGCCCCTCGCTCCACGGGACCCGGCCCTTCTACTCCCACTCCTCCCTCCACCTGAACACTGTCCACCCAGTCTTCCATGTCGAGTACCTAAAAGAATACCATGAATCCCTGCTCCAGTTCGCCGACCGCCCATATCCTAGACCTCCACCAATCATGCTACCCACAGGCCCTGAATTCGTTGTCGAAACCATCATCGGCCGACGAACCACTCAGGTATCTGATCATCCGGAACCAATCACTGAATACAAAGTCAAATGGACCGGATACCCCGATGAAGAATCTACATGGGAACCTCTCTCTAATCTTAAGAACGCCATGAAACTTGTCCGCGCCTATGATCGTGC